AAAAAAAAAATCAAATTTGATACTATTTTTCAATACAAATTGTCATAATAAAAAACGTCATAAATATTATTTTAATACAATTTTAATACAAAATTGTTGTAACAAATAGCGTTGCAAAAGATTTTTTTTTTTTCTTCTGTAGTGTCTCCATTTAGCAGCTAGTTGCTTATAAAAGCATGGATGTGAGATGCTCTGTTTTGTCAAATATGGTAACCAAATAGCTATGACATTTTTAAACCATATTTATTCATTAGGTGTGTTTGGTATAAAAGAAACGGGAGAGAGAAGGGAAAAAAAAAAGTTAGAAATGCAAAAAAAAATTTGTTGGCAATAAATACCAAATGTATCATATAAAATTAAATTTTATTTCTTTTACGCAAGGAAATAAGTGAATCAATAGATTCGGTAATTTTGAATTAGTGATTTTAATCCTAAATTAATGAGAATCACTTCTTATAAGTTACATATTCAAATCTCATTGATTTTCTTTTCTTATTTCTCTTTAATTAAATACATACTAATTTCAACAATATAAATCTGTATTAATTTACACTTGATTCTTCGAGTCAACTGGCATCCTCATAGCTTGAGGTGCATTCCCGCTCCCCCATGGACGGGTTTCAAGCCTGTCCCTTGACAAATTATTAAAAAAAAAATCTGTATTAATTTATTTTAATAAATGAAGTGTTGTTAAACAAATTATATTCCCAACCACAGCGCTAATTAACCAAGTCTGTTTTTGGGCTAACAGTCTAACACAGTACAGTAGCTAAACCCAAGTCTGTTTTTTCGGCACGGAATGATTTGTAACGGGCCTGAAACTGGAGCCATATGCTTCCAGCCCAAAACAAGCACACTCATTAATTCAGTAAAAACTTATTTTTACTCTTTTACCTTGTTAAATTTATAAATTTTAACTTATTATTTTATATTATAATATTTTTAATCTCTCATTTATTAAAATTTTAAAAAATAATTATTATTTTATAATATTTTATTAGTTTTATTAATTGATTATTAACTCTGTTAATTACGTTGTGTATAAGAGACAGATTACATACATGTCCTAATTAAAGAGATATCTTAATTACTAATAAATATGATAGAAAGTGAATAAATTTTAATAATTA